ACTAACAGAAGTATTGGGAGCATAAGCTTTCGTGGGTAAGAACCTCACTTCTTCAGATGCAAGAGAGGTGAAGTGTGTAATGTAGATCTCCTGTCTTATTTTAGTAAAGTCCGTTTGAGTGGAGGGTTGGTTATTTATGAGAGTCTCCAGGTTGGAGAGCTCTTTCTTGATGTTTTTCTGTTTGCTGTATAGGATGCTGATCAGGTGGTTCCTCAGTTTCTTTGATAACGTATGGCATAATCTCTCACTGTGGTCTGTGCAGTATGTAGATAGCAATGGATTTTTCACCTTCAGTCCATTTGGTATGATGTCCATCTGTTTGCATTTGGAAAGGAAGATGATATCTGAGAAATAGGGACTCAAGGGGCAGGAACAGAACAGTAAAAGTGCTTAAAAAGGGGCAGTGGTTAAAGTAGGTTGAAACAGGAACAAGACCTCTCCTTAGACTTTCAGCAGCACCAGCCATTGAGAAGAGAAGAATCTATGCTCCCTCCTTCTCTTTAACCTCTACTGAAGGGGGAAAAGAATGAGGGAAGCAGAGTCTCAGGGGGGAATGGGTTGGAGGGGTATAATGGGAAATAAAATGGATGAGGCTGCTCTCATGGGCCTCCCACTCAACGCCTTAAAGCTCTCCCACTACCTCCAAACACCACCCCATATGGCTGCCTTCCACTCTCCTTGCTGCCCGAGGTTGCCCCAAGTCCCTCCAGTATCCTGCTCTGCACTAGCTACCTTGGTTCTCCCAGCCTTAGCCCCTTTTTTGACAGTTGGAGAAAATGAGCGGAGAAAAGCTCACCAGTTCACTCAAAGATATAAGGCCCTTATTGTGACATTCTATACCTTAGGGGAGGCCCCTGTAGCCCCCATATTCCTCATTTTTTTGTAATCGTGATCTTACATATAAAGCATGCCTTGTAAGGTACCAAGGAAAAGGTTATGACCTGCTGAAAGTAATTTCTCTATCTAAATAGGTATATCATCAATGCATATGAAGTTATGTGAATGTGTTGTATGGTTGTTGCTAAAACATGCTGTAAGGGTATGTCTACATTTGCAGAGTTTTTGCGCTGTAAGTTTCACTAGTGATAGGTAACTGGTGAAAGAAAAGCTCTGGTTTGTGTATTCACTCAATTCCTCAGGCGTCAGAGATTGTTTACACTACCAGCTCTTCCATTGCTGTGCTGTAGGGCAGCTATCCCACAGCTTTCTCAATAGGTCTTGTGGGAAGTGGGGGGGGGGGGTGAGTGGAAGGCATTCTGGGTCCCTGCTCAGTGCCCCGTGCTGCCCTACTTCATGTCTCAGGAGCCCCATTACTTCCTTGTTTCTTCCGTGGCATTTTTTTTTAAAACCTCCTGCTGTCTGGCTGCTTTCCCCGCCACATCTACAAACAAAGGAAAAGGGAGCTTCAAACTTCCCAGGGCTTACAGGGGGAGGTACAGACGTCCGTCCATCAGAGCTGCAGCGATGCTGGTCAGAGTGGTCGCTTTTGGAACTGTGGGATATCCTTCGGAGGCCAAAAGGTGTTTACACTGGTAAAAAGTGTCTTCACTTTCACAGCAGCGCAAAAAGAACAGCGGTAAGTACTGTTCACCTCTCGTGAAGGTGGTTTTCTTTTTGCGGTGAAACTTCTGAGTTTCACCACAAAAAGTCATTAACAAGTGTAGACGCTCCTGCAGTTTTAGCACAAAAAAAAGGGACTTTTTGCGCTTTAAATGGTAAATGTAGACATACCCTTAGTTGGGGAAATCAGCCAGATATTAACTTCCTAGAGACAACAGCAAGATCACCTGCATGAGGCCACACCAGGGGAATTGCTCAACTTTGCCCGGAGACTCAGCAATGCCCCCAGTCATGCCTAGACTTGCATTCTCCAAGCACATGGGATGGAGGGCATAAAAGAGACCACAGGGCCTTTCTCCTTCACCCACCTACACTGCAAGCAACAAGGATGCTGAAGATGTGAGACTCCAACAGAGGAGACTGGCACAGATTTCAAAGGTGAAATCTATATACTGTGGACTGCAATATCCAGTTGGGTTAGAAAAACTGCTTAATCTAAATCAGTGGTTCCCAAACTTGTTCCGCCACTTGTGCAGGAAAAGCCCCGGGAGGGCTGGGCCGGTTTGTTTACCTGCCGTGTCCGCAGGTTCGGCCGATCGCAGTTCCCAGTGGCCGCGGTTTGCTACTTCGGGCCAATGGGAGCTGCTGGAAGCGGCGCGGGCCGAGGGACATACTGGCCGCTGCTTCCAGCAGCTCCCATTGGCCTGGAGCAGCGAACCGCAGTCACTGGGAGCCGCGATCGGACAAACCCGCCGATGCGGCAGGTAAACAAACTGACCCGGCGCGCCAGGGGCTTTCCCTGCACAAGCAGCGGAACAAGTTTGGGAACCACTGATAGGTGTTGCCCAATCTAATAGGGTTGAGAGTTTAGACTGTGTGGTTATATTTTATTTTATTTTGATAACCAACTGACTTTTTGCCTACTAAATATCACTTAAAATCCATCTCTATGTGATTCATGAGTGGCTCTGGAAGCATTCATGCAATCTAGCTGGGTGTGGGGTCTCCACATGTGGTTGTGCTGAGTGATAACAGCACCAGGAGGGGTTGCTGCTGGTCACTAGCAAGGCATTGTTAGAGACAACCCAGGCTGGAGAGAGTTCAGGGGGCACAGCGGTCCCACAGTGCCAGGCTGCACTCCAGGAGGATCCTGTCACACACTCATATCACATAGTTTAATATTCTAGTATTTCATGCAGAATTGTCGTATATTTGGCCTGAGTCCCAGTTTCCCTGTTTCTGAATTTGGGGCAGCAATGGAGAACACAAAGATGACTATAAGCTAAGCCCCCTTTACTGTGGTCTGAGAGCAGTTTTATGCCAGCCAGGGAAGCCCCTAAACAAAGGAGTAGTTTTAGATGCCATTCTGCCCACTTAAAGCCCCTTTTCACTGCCAGAGGGACGAAA